CTCCAGCATTGTGTAGCCTACGTGTCTGTAAAGGTTTAGCGACTGTAATCTCCAGAGTTGCATGAGCAGTGAAACTACAACAGCAGCAGCCTAAAGAATCTGACTCATCTTCTAAAGTATCAAAGAGATCTGGGAGACAACTCTCAGTCTGGCGCACACACACACACATCGATATCACTGTGTGAAAAAAAACAACAATCACCTACAGTGCATTGCAGGTTTTGTCTGCAGGTTTTTGCCGTTCTCTCTGCACTGACATGGTTTCTTTCCAGTTGGGAATTCCAGTTTCACTTGACATCCTTTTAAAGGACAACACATTCTGAATGCAGAATATTGTGGCGCCACATAAAAGAGGCAAGTTCTTTGATCACCCATGAGTGGCATGGAAACAAAATTATTTCCCCAGTCAGATCACCAACACTTTGGCAACACTGACTTGAAGTGGTTGAGACAGAAGGGTAAGAAGTGATGTTCCAAACACTGAATAAAAGAGTAATTGAGTGAGTGAGTGAGTGAGTGCTATACATTAGGGGCTTTTTCATGCATTTACATAAAAAGTGAAAAAGGAAGGAAGGCAGCAGATCTAAGATCTAAGAACTAGATCTATTAAACTATACCACACACCCCACACATATCATGTAGAACTAAACAGCAAAAAAGTCCTTTGAGACACCGGCTACTAGTGCAGACTCAAACTCAACAACAGTGCAGATAGATGGTAGACACAATCTGTGATCGCATCAGTGTTTCTAGGACATCTTTCATGGATTGGAGGCAGAGCTGACATCAAGCAGAGCGTAATGTGTAGAAAAAAATGAAAACACTCTACTTGTCTACTTGGGGTAGTGAAAAAAAGAACAGAAAAGTAGTAATAACAAAGCAAAAACCAAGCCTCTTTTTTTAACTTTAATGGACTGACCCAAGTCTGTAGTCAGATTTTCTGAATTACTTTACTGGAGAGAAGAAAATGAGCACTAATATCTTCAGCTAAACCGACTCTGTACACACAGCAGCAAGATCGATACCAATTATAGCAATAACTGATAAAACTGGAACAAACTTAAAACATACTGGATTTTTGAAGTTATTGGTGATTGCAGATTATACAAACAACAGTAGCTCTTCAGCTAATGTGTTAATTAACACAGCAATACAATTACAAATTGGTATGACGGAGATCTTTAGCTCTATACTCCCCCGACATAACTCAGTGTTAACCACTGCACTAGATTATCAACACTGCATTGTCAGTTACTTGAAGGGCACATGTTAACATATAGTTCTGATTTATATTTATTGAGTAAATAGGGTATATTTTCACCTTCCTACTAAGTCAATCATTGTGTTTTTACAAGTATATGATTGTCTCATTTTGCAAACTATACATTTGGCACGTACACTACTGCAGCTTTACTTCCTGTTTTGGCTACTGGCTAGAACTAAGCATTTTCTTCTCTCTGATTACTTTCATTGCTTTTACTGTATTTGTGACCTTATGATACTTCAAACAAGTGTAAAGGGAATGTACTGATCTTTGTTTTGGAACTATATTTGTTTAATATGGGAAGAGTTTGTAGTGGCTAGTGTGCACTTTTTCTACAGTTACAGTCGTCATTGCTAAAACCTTGCATTTAACAGCTGAAAGACAGGGAAGTTAGACCCACTGTGAGAATAATAATAAACATGATCTGTGCCAAAAATGTTTTGCTGTGATGAAAAATTGGTCTCCCTCTAAGTAACCACAGCTGCCAACATTTGAAAGATTGCATGTCAAGGGAGCACCGCCATCAAACGCAGAGATTGAATTGAGGTGACAGGATGGGCAGATGTCAGATTGATGGACAGCAAATTTAAGCGGGCCCCTGATTAAGTTAATGACAGCAGCCATCATTCTAATTGTGTTCCGTGACAATTGCTGGCAAACACACATACACTCAGACACACATGCGCATTAACAAAAAAACACTTGGAAAGCGTAGCCAGATGAGACAAGTTGCCCTAGTGTAAAGAGAAATGCTACCAGTTAGAGAGGTGGTGTCTATCCGGCTTATTTCAAGTACAACACAGACGACCTATACAGCTGCAGGGGGTGGAAATACAGACGACTTCAGCAGGTTTTAAAGTACTCAGGCATGATGTCTTATAGTGTTCATCCAAAATTTCAATTTCAACTTAAACATTTAGTTTTTTGGTGCTGTGATTAACTTATTTCTATAGATATACAGATCATGTTACATCATAAAGAGATCAAAAGCAGTCTATAGTTTGACCATGGGCTGTGATTGAATAAAATTGGGGTCATTGCAGGAGATTGCAGGAGAATTCCTTAGTCCAAAGCAATGAAACTGGAAAAAACTCTTTGTGCTTTCAGGTGTAAATAAAATGATAATCTGACCACAGGTCCGTCACCCTGATCCCCACCAGGCTTTACACAAGTCTCACACTGCTTGACTATGATATGAAAGCATGGGTTACTATAACAGGGTTACTATAGTATAGTCATAACTATGAGGTGATTATGACTGAAAAAGATACCCAACTTGGTTTAAACAATGTTGTCCAAAGTGTTCCTCCAATATACTACTTGTCCAGTGTTGCAACAATTAACCTATGAAACCATGATGCTCCCAAACTTAATATTAAGTCTTCTAACTTCGGATTTTCATCATTTTCAAGTGTTGTGAGCTGTATTTCACAAGAAAAAAAGCAAACACCTAAAAAAGCATGGGCTTACCAGTACTGTTTATCAAGATTAACAGATATCAATCAGTAAACATGCAAAGTGTGTTTCCATGCCAAAATGGCCCAAAATTTCATGATACATATCACAATATCAAGAAGAAGAAGACATACTTTATTAATCCCGCAAGGGGAAACTATCAATGTATTATTACATATCTACAGTAGAGGGAGCAGGTCAGGGAAAATCTACCAAAATGCCATTAGCAGTATCTAATCACAAAATAACTAGAATTCACTGTAAAGGTATCTGAACGTTTGTGTACCACAGTCATGTGTGGACAAGAAGAGTGTGTGGCCTGTTGAATTGTATTGTGAGAGGGCAAGATCCTGGAAGGGAGGTCTGTAATAGGCTTCTAGTCTTTTGTACACTGCCTCATTGGAGGTGTGGCTTAGTGCACTCACAGACTTCCTATTACTCTCCCTCTACTCATCATCGTTTCTCTCTCATACACATCAGGCCATTCAATTTTTTTCTCTCTCTCTCTCTGACAGAAAGGCAAAACCTTTCACACAAACGGAACAAGGAATAGACAGAGAAAACAGAGAGGGATTAAAGAAAGATAAGAAAGAGATTATGACAGGAAACAAAAGGACAAGGATGCTGAAGGCGGTAAATTAAAGGGAGGAACACTTTATCACATGGATTAAAACCAGTGCAGAGAAATATTAGATTAGTGTAGGTCAGGTCAAGAACAGATGCTGCAGTCGTCCTTTTGCTACTTCCATTTCAATTCATGATTCAGCTAAGTGGACACAGCAACTATTTATGGTCCCTTATATAAATTGATCGCCATAAAGCTGGTTCAGCTCTACTTGATTACACAGAACACCATTTACAGTAGCTAAGACGCCACCATGGGCCATCTCCTCTTCAATGCTAATACAGTGACAAGTAAAAATTCTTTCTGAGAGGAACAAAGAACATCAGCATATGGTGTGTTAGCTATTTTAAAAAATATATATTATCCCTGCCTCCCTTGCTGTTTTCACACTTCCAGCAAAGAGCTTAACAACTGTTGTTAACTTGCGCAGGTGAAATACACAGCAGATGGTGATGATAAAATGGAAGAACAGACCCTGTAGTTTAACATCTCTATTCTGCTGCCATCAATTTACTGAGCAGTTGTGTGTCCCTTCAAAGGTGCGACAAAACACAAAAACGTAGTTGTCTTGTCCCTCCTCCCCTGCTAATTATTGGAATGTAAGAAAACAAAATGCTCGGCTGGATTGATGGGGTAATCAATGAGAACATAACTATGACACGAGACTGTCTGGCTTTAATTGGATATTTCTGGCTCTGGGAGCTAGATTGATTGAGACAGGGAGCACTCTGAGATCCTAATTTAGTTGGCCAAATACTGTTTAAACTAAGGACCAGTGAAAGGTTGTACAAATCAATTTATCTTGTTGTTTATAGCCATGCTATCAGCCCTGTGAGGCTTTACTTAGGATGCTAACATCAGCATGCTAACATGCTCACAACAACAATTAATGCTGACATGTTTGTAAGCATGTATTGTTTCCCATGTCCACTATCTTAGTGTTTAGAGTTAGCGTGCTAACATTTGCTAATTACCACTAAACACAAAGTGTAGCTGAGGCTGATGGGATTGTCATTAGTTTTGTAGGTATTTAGAAATAAACTAAAGTAGTGGGCAATTATTGGGAATTGTCTATTTAGCCATTCAACAAGGAAGAGTTCAGCTTCATGTGGTGAACACTGTCACGAACACAGTACAAAATGAGAGCATTTGGCGTACGTAGCCTTCATAGCATCTTCCTTCTGTTTGGTTCAGACGAATGACCCATGAAACCAGCCGGTATGTATTAGGTATGAGGGCAGACTCAGTTCTGTTACAGGTTCTGTAACATTTTTCCCCAAACAGCAAAGTGATATAAAACATACACAAAATGAAATCTTATATATATTTTTTGGCATGTAACAGCCGAGGCTGGTAACTTTAAATAAAGTCATCTAGCTGGAGGATGTCTGCTTGTGTTGGATCAGTGCATGGCCTGAAGCAGTGTCTGTGTTCCAGTGTGTGTTCTGATGTGAAATGAGGAGAAGCAGTCTGTTTTTGTGTGTTTCCTTGGACCTGATCTCACAAACAGAGTATAATTTGCATTGTATGTTTCCATCTCAAACAAAAAATTAACAGCGTTTAATGGTCAAGTTGATGACAAAGAAGATGCAATAATTCCTTCTCCCCTACCAGAAGCAGGGTTGCCTCAAGATAATGTTAGGAGCTCACACTCACCTTTAGGGCTTCGGAGCGGTTAGCCAGCAGTCTCTCTATATTGCCAGCAGCTGTCGCCACCAGTTCCCTTGCATTGTTGGACCCAACACTGAAGTGAGGTCTGTGGTTATCATATATCTGAGACATTCAGAGGAGAAGAGCAGGGATAAGAGGTGAGCAGAACTTAAACTTAACAAAGCTTTGTCTGTCCTTGATGTAAGTCTTAAGCAGTAACTATGTGCACAGACTGAAACCATTCTTGCATTAAAAAAGGAAACAGTAAGGCCTACGAGGAATATGTGCTTATAAAAATCTATATCTTCTAGGCATTTTATGCTTGGAAATAAGACAAAATTAGGGGAGGTAGATATGAGGAATGACAACAAAGGCCCCTGTCTAGACACAAACCAAGAATGTTCATGGTCGCTACTTTAATCCCTAGAACCATACACAATAAAAAAAAAAGTCTTTGATTGGCCCATGCAGTGGTTGCTTTGTGTTGCATCAAAGGTTGAGCCAGATTAAACTTTTGCCAGATAACCCTGCATTTATTTTGCTGGTGCACTCTGGGCAGTCCAGTTCAAAAGGCTTTCACAGGAAAAGGAGAGTGCCCGGTGCTTACAAATGTCCATCCCCAAAATAATGATTTCAACCAGTAGTTGGCTTGACATGGCCATCATTGTCATATAAAGTTCAGAAAACAAACATGTAGCGCACATGCATGTAAGTGTTCTCCTAGCATTAAAACTGATGAATGTCTGAAAATTAGTTTTGGGTTGTTTTATCGCTTTCTGTAGACATACCCACCTTTCCAGTTAAGGATGATCACAGAGAACCAGTTAAGTCATTCTGTCAGACCAAATGTACTGTATAGATGTAATCACTTCTCAAAAGGATCTTCCTCAAGTTTTAAGACATTTTCTGTCCACAGATGTATCTGAAGCTGAGAATGTTACTTTTCATCAGTGGTCATCTTCTGTTCTTCAGCCCTCACTGACCAAAGCACAATGATTTAAAAAAGGAAGCTACATGTCCACTGATTAAATTGCAGTGTCAGGTTATGTAACAAGACCATTTACTGTGCAATGGAATATGTTCTATCAAAAGAAATAAGAGACACAAATGCCAAACAGCCAATTATTTAGCAGCCTAGAGGGATTTTATTGTTCGACATTCAAACCACAGATCTGAGCCGCATGGATGTATTTGTCTTCATCCTCCAGGCACCCAATGGATTTTGCTTTAGTGCAATATTAAAGAGTGATACTACAGAATTTTAGATTTGGATGTTGGATATCTTTGTTATTACAAAGTATGCAGGATGATTACCTTGGAATTTCTATATATAATCTGTATGTTAGAACTGAAAGTACTCATGTTGTACTGTGGATTTGGGGTGTCTTGATTAAAAACTAATACCATTCCCAGCCACGAAAGGTACAGCTATGTGCATAAAAGACCACAAATTGTGTCTAGCATTAACAATATTTGAAGGTGTTCCAAGTTACATATCACCACCTTTTAAGTCCTGCATGCTGTGTACACTACATTTGGTTTAAACAAGCGTGTCCCCAAAAGCATTAGGTTCTTTTACAGCAACAACACTTTAAAAGAGGATTCAGCTACACAAAATATTGCTAGATATGTTTAATTCTCATAATCTGTGCCACCACATCAAATAAAAACACATTTTGTAATGATTTTAGTGATGCTTTAAAGCCGGCTGATCTTATTTTCAATGCGAGGAAAAGTGCCAGATGCATTATGTCAATCAATGTGGATCTAAAAAGCTTCTTCTCGTTTCTCAGATGTGGACTTGGCAGTACAGTCGTGCCGCTGATCTTATCCGAGCGTGTACATTAGGCTGGCAGAATGAAATCATGCAGCGTTATGTCTAATGAGAAGCTACTCTATGTAGGCTGGTGATGTGTTGCAACAGCTGAGGTCATACAAGGAGGCTTAATGAGAGTAAGAAAAGTAAATGACAAAGTGCACACGTTAATTCTTGACAATACTGAATCTGCGTAAAGGGTTTTAAAGTCAAAATGAAGTTAGAATTCAGTTAGCTAAGAAATCAGTATATATCCATGCTGTATTTATATCTTCTGTACATTACTCCGTACTCCCTGTGACTCCATACATTAGCTCCTCTGTGTTGTGATTCAAAGCATAGGGTAACATACTAGGGTGGAGGTTAAAGAACTCCCCATTGCTGTGAGTGCTGACAGTTTGGTCATTTGCCTTAACCACAACTGGGCAGCAAAACAGCTAAAACAAGCTACATCCCCCTCTTTTCTATGTGAGAATAATACAGAGGTGAGTGAGTTTTTTAGAAATTGGTTTAAAATGTATGTATACAGATAATTGGAGCAACAGTTAAAGTCAGTTTGTGAGTGGGACAGGAAGTCGTGCTTACCTGTATTAGGTTTTGTATACCACTGGATGTGTCTGTTAATGTGATCAACTCTTTTTGCATCTGGTCCACCCATTCCTTTATTCTAAGAACACACAAAAAAAAATCAATTAGCCAAACAATCCTCATTTAGCGGAAAGCTTCCGATTAGCCTGGACAGTCGAATCAACTTGGTTGAGCTGCTCCAATCTCATTCAGTTTGAATACAGCCCACAAGATCACACGATCTAAGCTGAGCTCCACTGCTTACTATCACAATATGCAAAAAAAGATTATAGATTCAGAGATGGGAAGCATGAAATAATAATGTTTAGCCAAACGAATACATTGCTCTACTTCACATGAGCTGTGCATTAAGGCGAGAGCTATTCATAATCTCGGGGGTGAGATGCTGGTTAATGTATTCTTCTGATGTAAAAGAGGACACCATGGGAAAGAGAAAGAGACAGAAGAGAGATAAACATTCTTTTATTAGACTTTAGACTTTGTTTCACATAACTCACTTTAGTAAGATCAGAACATGTTTTTTAACTCAAGTAAAAATGTATTTTACCCAGCATCAGTATTCAATCACCCCAATGTAAATAACTGTGTCCATGAACATATCTAAACAGTAATTACCAGCACGTCTAAACTGTTGTAAATCAACTTTATGCCCTGCACTTTACCCATGAGGATTTTAAGGACACAAGTTCCATATATAGAATCCCTGACATACAGTTCAGTTCAGGTTATGTGCACATGCACATAACCTGAGTGTGCGTGATGCCTGAGTGTGCGTGATGTCTATGTGAGACCATATCCACCACATCCCCGTCACTATCAAAACACCAATGAATCTCTTTAATTTGAACACATTACAACATATATATTATATGTTATACATATATATTTTTAAACAAAAGCAATATCCACAGGTCATAAAATCTATATTGCAACCAAAATACTTGTGTCAACCTCCTGCCACTCAACTGCACATGGAACCTGTTCAGAACCCTTTGAAAACAATATAGACTAGTGTTAGTACACTTTCAAACCTTGCCCCCCATCTCCTTTACAACAGCCAATAAAAAATACATGACATAATCCTTAAAGAAAATTACCCTTTCTCCCCCCCATGGTGAATTCATGTCTTCACCTTCCAAGCTGCTGAGGGGCTGTTGACATATAAACCCTGTCTATGTTATCTTATTTTTTTTTTTTAATCAAAAATACAGTGTAATGTGAGCATGGTTAGCTCACGCTGGAAATGTGTAGCACAGCAGCCACATAGAATATTTAGCCTTCTGTGAAACAGTTGAAAGCAGATATAGGATGGGTGTACTATGATAGCTTTTTCTATCCCCCATACAATTACTTCAAAGTGGATTTATGCGTCAGTCATGTATGCTGACTACTGTACAAGGAGCCAACTCCAGGGTCAAGATAAGGTTCGCTAACCATAGCGAGCAGGTGTGTATTAGGGTTGTTGTGCATGTGAATTTTTCAAATAAGCCCAGTTGGCCTTAAGCAATTAAGGGTGAGCCATTACAACAGGTGTCTAATGTGAAAACACTGAGTGTGTGTGTGTGTTATGCTCCATCAAAGAAAAACTGAGGTTCATTGTCTATCAGCGGTTTCAACAAGTGCTCACTTATACAGCCTATTCTCATCACACCTACTGTAAGTGTGAGGCATTTAGTGTTGCAGAATGCACGTCCCAAGTTTAGTACTGCATTTCCAGATATAGACAGCTGTGGTCACGAACTAGCTGACAGCTCCTGTGTTTGCAGAGCTTCTTCCCTAATGAGGAGAGGACTGCTACAATAAAACATGATCCAGGGAAAGTACCTACGTCCACTAGCTGTGGTTAAACATGATCAGCTCCCTCACTTTTTGCAGCAGCAGCTTGGAGATCTCTACATGATCTGTGCTTGTAATGTAATAAAACATTGCATTAATACGATTTCTGAAAGGCAGTGTTGATTAACCACTTCCCAAAAAAAAAATCTTCATGTTATCAGTGAAAGGGTATACATTCCTTGCATAACAACAGGATGCTTCCTCATAAGTGCTGAAAATTTTTTCTTTAAGAACAAAAACAGACTAAGGAAATGGTCTTTCAATGGAGAAAAGAAAAGAAGAAAAGTGAAAAAAAAGTACATAAATAATTTTCTGAGAGAATGGAAACTTGGGGCAGGACATGGAAAAATTAGATATCATCATTATCCCCTCCCATGCTCAGCTCCTATTCTGCCCACCTCTCATTCTCTGGGGAAATTGGAGAGGGGGGGGAGCAATGTGGAAAGGAAGGAAGACTCCAAAATGGCTGGTGAGCCATGTAGAGCCACTCAGCTACAGCAATTAGACCGCAGGGCTGGAAATGAGAGGAGCCATGTGAAACTCAGCCAAGTGTGAGACCTGCTGGCATTACAAGCCTCTTTTCTCTCACACATGTCTTACTGAGTCATTAATATCAACCACTTATGAAGCAGACTGTTTTTTGTTCTGACAGGCAATAGTTAAAGTCCTCTCTTTCTTAACTTCTTTTGTTCTTTTTGCCACTTGTGGTTACTCACATATTCCCTTGCTTATTCACTTGCCTATTCACACTCAGATGATGAACTGTCGGTAACAAGACAGTGGCGATCAGCCTACTACAATAACTGGGTTTGTAGTAGGCTGGTCTACTTGTACTTGATAGTTTTTGGTCACAACTATATTATGTGTAAAACTATGACAAAGGTACAAAAGTCCACTAATGAATCTGCTGCATCTCAACAAACCATTATTAAGGCAATGCACGAGACAGTATATCTCATGTCAACAGAGTTGTTCTTTTGAATTTACTATTGTGCTTCTATGATGATTGAATTAAAGGAGCACTCCATTGATTTTACACACCAACTACTACTACTACTACTACTACTACGACATACTACTCAGCCTGTAAAAACAGCTGTATGTCTTCTGTGGTCTGCCAAATTTACCAGCATTTACCAGGTGACAAAGGTCTAAAAAGTAGCTGAGTTGCATTATGGGAAATATAGGATCCAGTGTTTTTAGAGGTTGACGTGGCTTGAGACTAAGAGTCAGTACATTGTCCCCTGTAATGACCCACAAATTTATTGAAGTGTTATAGTAAATAGCTGGAGTCGCCTCTTGAAGAGGTTTGCAGGGTGTTGGGGGTTTTGCTGTCCTTTTCTTTAGTAACTGCATTGAAACAACTGACAAATAAAGTTAGAGCTCTCTTGCTCTTTCTTGTAATTAACATGCTGCTAAGATAGTAATATATGGTATTTCTATGATCTTTAATAATAAAGAAATTATTTCATACTAAATAATGCTTAGTTGGCATAAAACACAACTTATAATGTCAATAACATAAGATAGATCGCAATCATGCAAGTGACTGCTGATGCTTATCGGGAGTCAGAAGGAATGCCCACATGTTGCAGCAGCAGTGAGGTTTGTTTTTGACCAGTTAGTGTACAGCATCCTCCACTGTGATAATACCAGACAGCAGTGGCTCTCTCAGGATGAAATAAAATGAAATAAACGTGCTTTTAAGTGAGGTAGGGCATGCTAGCAGGTTGGAAATATCTTATCAAAGTGGACTACCAAATGTGCGTAAAAAGGTAGCTGAAGTTAGGCAGAGACGGGCAAGGCCAACAGTAACATAAACTGGCTTTTACAGACAGATAGCACGATGCACATGCACACATATGGAGCCTCGAGTGGTTTCATACTATAGATACCTGTCTAACGCGACTCAAGGTGCATGCAGCACAGATCATCACGGTTCACTGGCTTTAGAGAGTTGGAGAGACACTTGGTTGGAGTTTAGATGAACAGGTTGTTTGTATTAGGGCTCAGATGCTGAAAAGATGACATTCATCAAGTTCTTTCCATGTCTCCAGTCACAAGCACAAATGTGCCAGTGAGTTAAATGGTGTGAAATTAGACAACATGCTGGTGAGCGGTGTCATTATTACCAAAAATAGTACCACACCACATCTATGCGGACCAATTCAGAAAAGCAGACACACCAAAACAAAATCTAGTCTTCATGTGATACTTTTTCCCTGCTAAATTAGCTCATTCCCTGACTAGACTAGTGAGCATATCTTAATTTGTGCTTGACCCATGTGTGTCTGATGGGTAGACAAAGTAATCCCTACTGCTCTCTTCTAGCCTCCATCCCTCTAATGACTGGAAGAGAAGCTGCTTCCATTAGGCCAGCTGTCACGTGCATGTGTGTGTCTCAGCGTCTGTATGTAACCAGAGCAGTGGGTCTCTCAGACGGCAGTAGGGGCAGAGACGGTTTAGAAAGGAAATGGTTCACTTAAAGCTAGTGTAGGCAATTTATTTCAGAAGCATTTTTGGTTGTATTTGTTTCTCTGTACATCCCAACAGCAATCAATAAATCAAATGTTCTGACAGGAAAAAAACAAAACTATGGTATCTGTGGCTGTCACAGAACTGTAATAAGCACAGCCAATGGCCTACATGCCTGTCTACTTACCTACCTGTGCATACAGTGTGGAGAGGACTGAAGGGAGGGGGTGTTTTTTTTCCCCGATTGCATACTTTCAGAATCTAGCTGTCTGTTGCTAGTTTCTCCAACGTTGAATACCCTAGCTTAAAGAATATTTTGCTGTATCTGTGTCTTGTGGGTTGTGTCACTGCCTCCCCCCTTTCGGAGACTAGCGGTGGGTCCGATTCACTCCAATGGGAGAAGTGAACATGAGCACAGTTTATGACCGATTCTTTTGCCCCATGGTCACTGAAGTAATTGGACCCATTTTTCACAAGCCACAAATCTTTCAAACATATTACAGACAGACAGGCGTATCAGAGGAGATAGGAAGTGTGTACCATTTCATACCATTGGCACCGCTTTGAATGCGTTCTTTTGTTATAGAGCATCTTTGTTAGGGGGCTGCCTAGGGTCAAAGGTCACCAGGGCAGATTCATCTGTTTGGCAGAAACTCTTAATATAATGAAGTGGGTGTGGCCCATTTGTGCATGTGTTATAAAGCCCACCATTCAGATCGATGGACCAGAGCATGACAACCCACTGGATAACAATTTAGAGTATGAGAC